TATATATATTCACTGTTTTCTTTGTGTTTAGTGTTAATGCTGTAACTCCTGGGTGCAAATCTTCTGATGAGATCCTGGTAAAGAACTCACAGAATCTCCTTCAGACCGTCCTGCGTGGGGTTCATGCTGCAGAAACAGCCTGCATTACGGTAAACGAATTAWCACAAACATAACCTTAGCTATTTTAGCCTTTTTCATCTAAAGGAAAACTGTGATTCGTCACTTTTAGAACCAGCTGCAACTATTACATCATGTTTCCTGAATTCATTTCAATGCTCTCACTTTAATTCTGTTTTGATCTGTTTCAGGGTCTGAAGCAGCCTGAGCCCAACTCAGACGACGAAGAAGCGACGACCTTGTGTTTCCAGTGGAAGAGGAACTTGGAGKTGTATCGAGCCCTGCAAACCTCGAACCCAGAAACCGATGAGCTCGGTTTAAGGAAGACATCATCYCAGCTTTTAGCTCCCAGTCTGGCCCCCCAGGTTAACGTCTAAAAACCTGCACAAAGAAAATTAAAGATATGCTGACTATAATTATGACTCATAACTAACTGATTATTAGGTGAATCGAACACTTCGTATAGGATTAAGATGGAGAACGGTTGCTTTTTCACTTCTTTATTCAAGAAATTTTATAATAAAAATCACTTAAAATGATGAGTGTTGTTAAAATGCCATGTAGTATTAAATCACTGTGGACGATTACAGATCCACACTAGCATGACAGAAATAAAGCATTATTGTARACAATACACTAATACAGTCACTAAAACACACTGTACAAAATGCACATTTACAATGTGAATTAAAAAAAAGAAACATAGCTTATTTTTAGGCAAACAAAATCAGCTTGCATTACAAAAACGGTTACCTAAAATGCCAGGGTATATTTGRGTAGTTGCAGTTTTCACCCTTTAAGTACAGAGTTTTAAATAAAATTTGACAGAAACTGTAAAATGTCATATTTGTTACATATGTACATATGCCTGCAATGACTCTTTCTGTAGAATATGCTCAAACACTTATCTTGTTATGATTTTTCTTGTTTTCAGACACAAAATAAAGTGGCGTTACTTTTAGCCTTTAAAAAAGTTGATTTAAAAAAATGGCACAGATGAATTAAAAGTAGCCAAAAGTCACTGAAGCAGCTGATAAAAACTGATCCTCAAAACATTTGAAGCACTTAAAAAGTGTAGAACACTGTCATCTGTGTGTAATGCATATAAAAAAAGATGTAAAAAAAATGAGTGAAAAATTACACAATATTAAAATACCTCAACATACATGCATGTGATTCCTTTCTACTCTGGTTTTGTTTCAGCATCTTTTTTTTTTTCCTTTTCTGCTGATCCATTTACCGTAATCTTTAACCGGATAAACATGGGGTGTGATGATCTATACAGGATTATATACAGAAATAAATAAAACCAAAAATGTCCTGATGCATCTCAGTAATCCAGGTAGAAAAAAATCAAAAAGAAAAAATAAGTAGGTCCTCTGGATGAGTTATTTTTTAGTGAAACGTTTCGTCTCTCCTCCAAGAGACTTCTTCAGTCTGATGAGTTTCAGGTGAACTCAGCCTTATAATCTCTGCATCCACATGGTGGACAAACTTAGTCACATGCAAAAGAGGGCCATCGCCTAACAATAGGCTTGATTAGCTCTATTGTTCATAGAGGGTCATGTGCC